AATTGAACATCAGAGTTTCCTAGACATTCCTGCCTGGGCTGGCCATGATTCTCAGGTCTCAGCTTTCTGAGTAGCTAGGATTACAGATGTGAGCCAATGATGCCTGGCAAGGTATATATATATATATATACACATATATATATGTATATATATATGTATATATATATATATATGTAATTTAAACTGGCAAATGGACTACTTTTTTCTTTTAACATTTCTAGAACAAATGAAAGGAAATTTTGTACTTCATTCTTCTTAAAACACCTTTAACTGGCAATACATTACATCTTATATCTAAGTAATCTCACTTAACTTCAATTTACCAAAATATTTAAATTAAAATATTTAAATTAAAATATTTAAAGAAAACAACTTACTTTCTCTGAGATATACAATTTGATCTGTTTTGCTTTGTATTAGGAAATCTCATTCTGAAAGTGAGCTAGGAGATAGTTCAGTACATGGAGAAGTACAGTGCATTAGAGGGGACAATACATATGGCGTTCCTGGAAGATCTACATGAAAAAAGGAGTTGATGGATTGAAGTCTTATTTATGAAATATTTAGGTAAAGTCATTTTCAAAAATGAGATTTCCATTACATGCCCATTGCTAGGGTTTCATTTGAAAAATTTGTTTACTCTTCCCTGGGGAGTCCATATGTCGGGTGATTTATAAATCATATTTACAATCCAATTAAATAGAGCAATTTAACATGTTTGCTCCCACTATATTTATGGTGTGCATTTAGTAGTCTCTACTCTGCCTAACTAGCTTTTCAGATTAATTACATGCTCTTCACTGAAAATGCTAAACAGATTTGGGAAGTTTAAGTCATGTACTCTTTTACTGGAAAGAATAAACAAACATCAATGCTACCTGTAGTTGTTTTCCTTTGCGGTGGAAAATTTTACTCTTTCAGTGATTGCTTCATAAATAACAATTACTTTACTCAGTAGAGATTTATTTCTTTTACTAATGTCAAGTTTCAAAATTAATAGTGAGAAAATTGATGTTTATTTCACCACTGGAGGTGGCTGAAGGCAAGTCCATTTTGAAGCACATTTGTTCCTGCTTGCTTATTCCTGTTTCATAATATCTAAATCTGAACTTCCAAAGTAAAATGAAAAATTAAGACAAAATTCTTCCACACAAATCTAGGTCATTCCTTAACCTGAGGGTAAATTGAGAGCTGCTTTTCCTACTAAGGTTAAAGATTTGTTTTTATTTTTTAAAAGCAAACCTTTTAACATCTCCTTAATTTTTTTGTTGTTGTTAAGATCAAGTCACCTTTTTCTGAGTTTTTCTTCCTATGCTTTCTTCAGTGGAGGCAGGATTGTACCACTAAATTAACACTAAATATATAATGTGGATTTTATAGAACTTGTACAAATCTAATACACTGATAATAATATAAAACAGATTTGATACTTTAAGAAATTGGGCAAGCTGGGTGCTGGTGGCTCATGCCTGTAATCCTAGCTACTTAGGAGATCTGAGAATCATGGTTCAAAGGCAGCGAAGGCAGCAAAGTCTGTGAGACTCATTTTCAATTAACCATCAGAAAACTAGAGTGGTATTGTGGCTCAAAGTGGTAGAGCACTAGCCTTAAGCAAAAGAGCTCAGGGACAGCACCTAGACCCTGAGTTCAAGCCCCATAGCTAACTCACCCCTCCAAAAAAATAAGAACAACTTTGGCAAATGTGGAAAAATTGCTAGTACTTAATTTGTAGTTGATCAATGAAATATAGCTATGCAGTGAGTAAAGCATGTGAAGGTAAGATCTAAAATATAATGTTTGCCGTCTTTTGAGTTTCAGGAGCATTAGCTAAATGAAGAGTCCAATCCAGCATGGCTTCTGGGGGCTATATCCAGGGGTAATGTCTCTGAACAAAAGAAATGGGTTCATGCTAGCATATTATAGATACAGCAATAGAAAAGCTAGCACCCTAAGAGGAACAGCAAGGAAGAGGAAACGCAAGAGCAAAGGTGTAAGGAGAGAAAGGGAAGATGACAAAGCAAGAATTTTATTATTTTATTATCTTAAAGCAGTTGTACAAAGGGATTTTTAATCCAACATGTTGGTTTATGAATATACCTTGATCAATGTCCATTTTGGATGATAGACAACATATGAATGAAAAAGATTAACTAGAAAAAATGTAGCTGTAATATATTAGAACTCAACAACAGATACTTCCTATTAGCTCCTCTAGATGTCCAGCTAGGTAATTGTTTTGTCACAAATATTAAATCTTTTAACATTAGGTATTTGTAGAATGTTGAGTCAAAGTTTGTTTGTTTTTTTTGTCGGTTGTGGGTCTTGAACTCTGGGCCAGGGCGCTATCCCTGCGTTCTTCAGCTCAAGGCGAGCGCTCTACTGCTTGAGCCACAGCGCCACTTCCATAGTCAAAGTTTTTATCATTACATTTTTTTGTGTGCTGGAGATTGATCTCAGGGCATTTGTTATGTCAAGCATGTGCTCTATTCCCAGACTTTAACATTATTGTTTTATTTTTCTGGGTACACATTGGCATCACTAGCATTAAATAACAACTCTGGGGACAAGGTAAATACAGATGTGATTACTTTATTGGAATAATCCCAATAATTTCTCAGAGAGTTATGGAAAAATTCTGTGTAAAAGTGATTAGAACTGTAAACCTTATGAAAGACTATAGATTTCTCTGCAGTTTGATAGCTAGGGTCTAACAAATGAGAATTGGATTATAGAGAAGACTCTTTTTACTATATGTTGTCTTAAACTTGCTCTAGATTAAATTGTGGTTGTCTTCTACCTATTCAGGAAAGGAATATGACATACTATAGAAGGAACCCCATCGGACAGGGCTGCTAAGTTCTTTGAAACATGGCCATCAAATTGCCAATTGGCCTGGGGCAAATGGATAAATTCCTTCATCTATATTCTTGTGTAAAAAAAGAGGATAAGATTTCATTTATTCAACAGTGAATGCAATAGTGTTTTTATAAATGATGCTGTACTACAGCAAAAAAATGTTTTAATTTCAGCTGAGTGCACTAGGACACACCTACAAGCTCAGCACTAGAGGAAGCAAGAAGGTGGTGAGTTCAAGGTCAGCTTGGGCTCTATAGAAATACATTGTCTCAAGAAAGAAAAGTTAATTCAGTGTGAACATTGCAATTTATTTGTAATACTTTATCTTTGAAGTTGTGATAGACCCCACAGCATATAATGAGCTACAATTCACTATCCTTCATAATTTTATAAAGCATGTTGGATATTTCTTGGTGCCTGGGACACAGGAGATACTTACCTTTCTTATGAGGTGGGTGTTTTTATAGACCAAAGACCAAAAGTTAACTCCCCCCCCCAAAATCCATGAAAGATGCTTAATCACAGTCATTATATATATTCTACTCCATGTACATGCATCTGCTTAATATTAAGACGCCACCACTGCATTGCTATACATGTGGAAGGGAAAAAAGAACCAAATCAGTTAGATTAGAAAACAATTCCATGCTTAGCATGTACAAAGCTCTGGGTTCAATCTCCAGTGCACAGGCATGCGCGCGCGCGCACACACACACACACACACACACACATACAGAGTCCTAATTCTTTTTTTTTTTTTTTTTACAGTCCTGAGACTTGAACTCAGGGCGTGAGCACTGTCCCTGAGCTTCTTTTTGCTCAAGGCTAGCACTTTACCACTTAAGCCACAGCACCACTTCTGGCTTTTTCTGTGTATGTGGTACTGAGGAACTGAACCCAGAGCTTCATGCATGCTAGGCAAGCACTCTACCACTTAGCCAAATTCCCAGCCCCCTAATTCTTATTATAGTTGAATTGGACAACATATCTAACGTATGTCTGATTTATTAAACTTGAAGGATTAAGTCAGGTTTTGTAATACAAGTCTAGTATTTACATTATATTTTTACGAGGAAATACATTGATGTGTCACTACCAGGAAGCAGGATTTACTCTTTTATCTTTAGTATAGATATAGAAGGGAAAAATTAAGCCACTTGAAGAAGGGTGACTGCTTAGTGCTCATGCCAGAGCAGGATTAGAAATCAGGGTGTTTTGGGTGTTGTTAATGGTAACGATACCAACAATAATTTATCGGATGCCAAGAGAGCACTAGTTTCTAGGCAGGCTTGCTGGCCAGGGCTGCTGTGTTTTGTTTGCAAACAAAGATTTTGCATATAAATTCATTGCAAGAGTTCTGTCCATTTGGCTTCTAAAAACTCACATCATGAGCTCAAAAATTTGCAAGCAAATCTTCCAATTTACAAACCCTATATAAGCAATTACTTTGTATTTGGACACTTTCCTTTCTGGTCAACTAAGTTCTGGAGGGAAAAAAAAAATACCCCAGATCTTCATTTCAAAAGAAAGGAAAATCAGAAATAAAAACAAAGGAAAACCCTCTTAATAGATAAGTGCCGTTTGACATGTCCTTTGTCCAACAGGCACAAACAATACGATATTGTAAAATGTGGCCCATGTTTTCTTGAATAAAGTTTTGATCACTGTGAGTTGCTAATGCAACGATACATCCTCTGGGCCTTTCTTTATTGGAAATGAAAACTTTACCAACCACGACCATCACAAGGCTTTAACAAAAGAGTCAGACGAACCCCAAGGACTGGGAAAGCTGGCAAGGGCCATGTGCAGAGCTGAACAAATCCTACGAATATTTAATCACCATGAATTCTGTCCTCACCTAAAAGTATTGTATGGTTTCTAATTGTACGTTCCTTCAAACTTGTGGAAAGAAAAAGTTTGCTCTTCAACATTACATTTAAGTATCAAGAATGGGAATGTTTTAGGTCAATGTAAGAGTATAGCAAATCTAAAAAGCAAACAAACAAAAACCCAAATAAATATCAGAAAGTAAAATCAGAATATCCATAGCTTGTTCACAGTTTACGCTCTGCTTCTTTTTTAAGCAGCTATGAGATGTTGACTACTGCAGTGTGGCTAATTCCCACCTCTCTTCTTCCTCTCAGGCACCAAATGGTCTCCCAGCTGTGAGCAGTTTTGTGTCAGCATCCAGCATGGCTCCTTACCCTACCCCAGCCCAAGTGTCACCTTACATGACCTACAGTGCTGCTCCTTCCGGTTATGTTGCTGGACATGGGTGGCAACATGCCAGCGGCACCCCTCTGTCCCCGCACAACTGTGACATTCCCGCATCGCTGGCTTTCAAGGGAATGCAGGCAGGCAGAGAAGGTAGTCATTCTGTCACTGCTTCTGCACTCTGATGGGAACTTCGGCCTCCAACAGCTTCACTCCAGTCTCCCTCTCAGCACATCCTCCCCCTTTCTACCCCCTTCCACCCTCCCACCCTCCTGCCTCCAGAGCTGGCTTTATGGACTCACATCCTTTGTGCTGATGACACTTCTTGCCATAACTTCTTTTCGTGTAGGAAACCAAACATAACTTTAGGATTTAAAAACAAAATCAACATTAAGGGTGGAATGAGACATTTCTGTTGCCCACACACCGTTGTAACGTAGTGAAGAAATCTACACCCCTTAAAGGGCTTATTATGGAACTTAAAAAAAAAACAACTAGTATTTGGTAAAACCACACGTGGATATTTATTCTAAATCACCCTGAACTTTTGAAATGTGCAATTGTTGAGATTTTGCAAAATTAATAAAGAAAAACACATAGAAAAAAATGTTTCGCTATTATACCCTCTAATCAAATAAGGTAAGCAAGTAAGCCTTAATTCATCATTAGGAAAACCAATCAATAATTTACTTATTTGAGTGATCTTTTGTTTGTTTTTCAGAGATGAGCTATTATATGTAGACCCCAAGCAATATCTGAACTTAGCTGCTCCTGGTGTTTAAAGTTGGTTCCAAAAGCAATGATGTTTATATGTTCTGTTAGTTTGTAAATATGTTTTCTGGAAGGTGTATTTGTGTCTTCATTCTATGGTACTGCACCCTCTTCCACCATAGTCCTTCTCTAGCTTTTTCTTTTGCAAAAGTGGCTTTCCAGAAACATTTTGGCTGTCGGTGGTAGGCTGCTTGGGCTCTTGGACCTAGACTTGCCCTTAAATTTTATATGTGCAGTGAAATCTTATGAAGGACACTTTCTTGCTACAGCAGAGAATTAAAAAAGAAACAATACACACATCAAATAAAACAGATAAAACAAGCCAGTTTCCCATTTTGTATCCTAATCAGACAATATACATGCCAAGCATATCAAGATAAGAGGGTGAAAAAATATCTGAACAAAAGGCTCTAAAAGAAGTCACTTAGACACAAGTTTAATGTGAAATGTTTTTGCAAAGTCATTTAAAATGAACTTTATGTTAAGAAAACCACTGTGAAACTAAATTGTACTGTTACTGTTGGCTTACCTGTGTGTTCATCAATCTCAGCCCCAAATTATGTTGTAACTTAAAGAAAACAGAAAGTTCTGCTCTAATGAATGTAACAATGGCTTGCTGTGAAGTTTACTATGTTGTACGGGAACCTGTGTCACTTGTAGGTAAACTGGTATTGGTATTAGAAATACAAATGCTATTTAATTTTAACACATTCCCTTTACTCATTTCTGCAATTACAGGTCACAGATTAACTGATCAATCTTTCTAGACCAATTTATTTTCCACTTTAATGTTGGTAATAGAGCTGTGGTGTGTGTGCATGTGTGTGTGTATGTGTATGCATGTGTGTGAGCATGTGCATGTCTGTGTGATTATGTGTTGTATTTGAGAATAATTGATTTTCCTGGACAAAATTCTAAAAGTTCTTATCCCTTCTAGTCAGGAAGTTTTTCCTTTCTCCACCTGTTTGGCAATAGAAGCTTAAAAATACACTTTCAGAACATTGGTACACTTCGTCTATTGGAAAATTAATATATTGTGGGTTTTTTGGTATTAGTTTTGTGCAATAACTAAATTAGGCACCTCCCTAGGCATGGGTTGAAGATGCATACATTGGGCGATTTGATTTCTTTGTATCTGTGCTGTGCACAGCCTACATAGCAATCTAGTTCCTCCATATAGGTTTCATACCTTCATTTAAAACTCACATAGCTAAATCAGCTAATTTTTTTAAATCACTAAGATGTAAACAGTAAGCAAATTTCTGACACATTATGTTTGAGGACCTGCTTTTTTCAAGCAGCAGGTATCTTCTAGAGAGCTTTGAACTGCATTTATTTCTAAAGAAAGTGAAATCCAGTGCTACAAACAGAGGATTATAACTTCAGGAGAAGAATAAGCAGAAGGAGCAGATGAACTCTCAGGGCCATAGTCTTCCTTTGATCTTGCAAAACTCCCATTGACATCTGGAGTTCCCAGTCTGGTGAGAAAATAGACTATAAACCAAATGGAACAAAGACCCAATATTTTGGTGGAGACTTTAAAACCACAGCATACAGGGACTCTCCTACCATCCAGAAAAACTGACTTAAGGTACAGAATTATTCTTTACCAAATGTTTTTAGGTGGCTGTTAGGGGTATTTAAAAAAAATACCAGTTGTTGATATGGAAAGACAACAAATAATGTTATTTTTTGCTATCTAAATTAAGAGATCTTTATTTATAATTCTGTCTGGTTCTTGTATTTAAAAAATCTAATATTAATGATATCAAGTTTTCTTTTCTCTTTTTATTTCCCTTCATAGGTCTCTCCTTAGCAACAGTAAATCTACACGGAGTGATTTTAGACAGACAACAGAAAACCTAAATCTAATTGGTTATTCAAAGCAAATTACGATTTGAAGCCACTTTTAAACCTATGAGAAGGAAAATGGAATGGGATGGTTTGAGTTTTAAACATTATTGTCATTGGTTAATGTTAATGTATTTCCTCTAGCTCTTAGAGCTCAAGTGTTCTTTTTCAACTGGCAAATGAGTCTTCAGAAATCTTCTGCATCTCATTCATACAGAGAGGTTAAAGGTTCAAGTTCATGGTTTCTGGGCACACACACACACACACACACATACACACAGTGTTCTTTCTCTCAGGATGCTAGAATGTTACCTGTGAGGACAGAATTTAGTTGTGCAAAACTTGTCTTGGTTCTCTGTTTTTATTGACCCACTTACTGAATATTGGGCTGACATATAAATTAAAAAAATCATGTTGGAAAGGATGTACAATGGAAGGCTGTGTCTGTATATACAGTATGTCAAAAAGCCTTTTATTTTTATACTTTAAATGCTCTAAATTAATAAAAATGAATAATTACCATGTTATCTTTACTTTTTATTTTCAAGATGCTTTTGTGTAATTGTCTCTTAGTAGAAATACCCCACAGTGCTAGTTAAGAGCAGGGGTGTCACCTAGAACATGCAGATACTTTTGTTGACTTCAGCTACTGAAGCAGCATCATTTCAGGATGCAAATATTAAAAAAAAATTGACTTTGGTTATATCAGGACCAAATAGCTACTTTTTAGAGTTCATGTTATCCTAGGAGTCCTTGGAAATGCTAAGCACATGCTTCTATTTTGAAACATTTTTTTTAATCCTATGTGTTTTAATACTGTAGACAAAAGACTTCCCACCTGAAGTTGTCACTTGAAATGCATTTCTACCTTGCACATTCTTCTTAAGAATGTCCCAGGAAAGTGCTCTGTACATAGGGTTTGGGATACAAATAGACAGCATGAATGAGCCCGAAGGCTGCTTCCAATTTATGGCTTAGTATGCAAATACTGCAGTAACAAAACTTGTCTTCAAAGTGAGCTATGTAAAGGAAAGTAGTTTAATATATTGTATTTTATTTGTAACAAATGACTTCAAATAGCATGATTTAAAAATATCTGCTTTAGGAACCACGTGAAATATGAAGTAGATTTAGGAAAATATAGCTGAGATATATATTATCGCTCAAGAAAACCAAGAGACTTACATGTTAACACAGCGCTCATAAAATCAACTGTTCTTAAAAGGTGGTTTTAGTGGATTTTAAAACATTTTCCTTTAGCTCTTTAAATATTATTTATGGAAAAATTAATTATAAAAACTGTTGAAATTTTGATTTATCTCTTTTTATTTGTACCCAGTCTTTCTTGGAAGAATTCTTAAAGGAACTAACCACAGAATATTTTAAAGAATTTCAGCATTTCTAGACCTTTTAGAGAAAAAATATCATTTCAATGAATTTTCACTGTGAATCAGTATAAGAACATATATGACTAAGCCTCTCTATCTTTTGTGAAATAAATCTGATTTCTACCCTATTTAGAATATTCAACTTTCATTCCTTATTGCTCCATATTAATTTTCTGTTCACAGTTTTATGTGTATGATGGCCCAAACGACCATCTAGCGTGTCAGAACAGGCTTTCATTCTGACCTAGCTGTTTTCCCCTTCATAGTTGTATGCCTAGCTTAGCTGACTGGTAGTCTCTGCTCTTCATGGGACCTCGGAGCAAGTCCCCATTTCTCAAGGGGAAAACACTTTCTACGCCATCACCAATTTTTCTGCAGCCACGAGAAGGTGTATTCGTACACCAGCAGCATCACTGCACCACCTAGAAGGGAAAAGAGCAGGTTTACATCACAAACTCTCTGAAATAATACTGTTCCATAGAGTTCCACACAGCCTATTGGGCAGGGGAATTTGGAAAAACTAGGTTTGGAGTGCTGATATACAGATATAAAAATATTGTGGAAACATTTCAGGATAAAATCAAGACCATCTTGAGTCTCCAAATACATTTTTTCCTCATGAGTCCTCATGCGTTTCTGTAACTTTCAGCATTTCTCATCAGATTCTTTTCCAAGCACTTTTAATTTTTAAAAGTAAATAAATATAGACAGATTTAGTCATGTAAGGGCATGTGGCTTTCCTGTGACAGAAATCTTCAGATTCTTATGTAGGCAAAGGGTTTGTCTTGTTCACTTTGTGACTTGTCTGGCCTTAGTTGCATTTAAGGGAGAACTCTTTAAGAGGGCCCTAATGGGTGAAACTGTTCCTTGCCCCCTCCATCCCGTCTTTATAGAAACTTTCAAACTGGATTGTAATGGAAAAAAATGCTTTCTGTGTGCTTTTTAAATCTGGTATTGCAAAACCTGGCAAAAGGTTGCAAAGTATTTCATTTATCTGTCTCAGATTATCTGTCAGTCTCTCTGTCTGTCTATCTATATCTATATCTATATCTATATCTATATCTATCTATCTATCTATCTATCTATCTATCTATCTATCTATCTATCTATCTATCTCTATCTATCTATCTTTGAGTATAAAAATTTGGTAATGGAGTTGGGTGGCACAAGACCACCAAACTCTTATGAAGTTTGGAAGGAAAGAACTGTATGAGATGGGCTGAAAAGACATTTGTTATGTGATAAATCAACAGGAATATGGTTCAGGAAAATTAGCACAATGGCTGTTGAATCCCTGGATACTGGGAGAAACCCTTGCATATGGATTATTTTGTGTTCTATATGATACAGCAAATAGCACATGTCTTCTAACTTAGAATAATCTATACTTATCCTTTCATGTTTATCTATGAGAAAAATATTGCAAAACATGGACAAATATCCCATGCATGACTTATGGAAGACTTGGCTGGGCTAGTAGCAGATTGGCTTCTGATAGAAAGAAATGGAACTTGATTTGGATCTTACTTGTTTTGTGCACATTGCCATATGCTTTTTTCTTTTGTAATCCACAAGCTGCACATGTTTGTGTAACCACATACAAAAGATAACTATCTGTGTATAATTTTCATTTTTAACTCATGAAGAACTCTATTAGCTCCTCTCAACTGGAACTCTGGCAGACAAAAAAAAAAAAAAAAAAAGATGCACTTCAAAGCACCACCAGCGGGTGGTTCATGCTTGGAATCCTAGTAACTAAGGAAGCAGAGATTTAAGGATCAAGGTTCAAAGCCAGCCTGGGCAAGAAAGTCCATGAGATTCTGAACCAGAAAAATGGAAGTGAAGCTGTAGCTGAAAGTGGTAGAGTGCTAGCCTTGAGCAAAAGAGCTCAGGAATAGCACTCAGGGCCTGAGATCAAGCCTCATGATCATCCCTTCCTCCTCCCAAAAGATGCACTAGAGAGGGTTCTTGATATATGTGCGATTACTTTTATGAACTGCTCACAATATAAAGCCAAAATATTCAGTTTTGGGTTAGTTTTCAGCCTACTGAGTTTAAGAACTACAGACTCTTTCATAGGGAGTATCTGATTAAAGTTGTTACATACGTAAGATGGTATACTCCAGAATGAAGCTTCCTCTTTTCTTTATTTCCTTTTCTCCTCTCCTCTCCTTCTTCCCAACCCTTTCTTTTTTCTTCTTTTTCTTCTCTCTCTCCTCTCCCATCATCCCTCTGCCATTCCCCCCCCCCTTTAATTCCTAAATAGCTTTAAGTCAAATGTCTTATCTTTCAGCTATCTAACATTTGAAATAAATTGGCCAGGTCCTTGAATGAGCCAGTCAGTTTTTCATAATTTTGTGAGGCTGGCTGGGAACTTTCCAACAACTCTTCATTGAGTTCAATACCAAAGAAACGTGGAACACCTCATGCAAAAGCATTTAAAAAACCCAACCAAACATTTGCAAACCTCTAACAAAACGTGAGGTCAGATTATTTAGTAGGGTTGGATTAAGGTTCCAGTGAATTACCATTATAGCTCCACTCTCTCTCTGGTAATCATCCAGCGTAGACCTACTGTGATTTTTCTAAAACATTAGGTCTTTTAGTAGGGTTTTACTGGGTGGTGCAGGAAAAATATTACATAGAGTTCTTGCAGAAATGGGGCAAATTTCTTGATGTTCTTTTTTTTATTTTATAAAAGGGGCATTGACTAATCAAAGATAGGTCTGAATCTCAAGATGAAGCAAAGTCCTCACTTACATATTTACAATGGTTGGGCTACATGGTTTGGGAATGGTGGGCGTGTTTGCTAAATACATAAATGTGTGAACTTTCCCCCAGCTTCAATCTAGAGATTGTTGTTCTTTATTACTGCATTAAGATTGAAAGGTAAATGAACAGATGAATGCAGGAGGATGTGAGTATTTAAAGGGAGGGGTGGAGAGGAGAGAAGGTTCCAAAGGCTAGCAGGATGTCTAAATAGAGAGTGTGACCTGGCTAAAAAAATATACATGTGGTCGAGAGCATACCTTCATAGTTACTCACAAGGCTGCTTTTAATCCAGGCCTATTTGCCCAAGCGGTTGAGTCTATAGCCCTTATTTTCTTATCTATTTACATAGAGGTTTTTTTTTTTTTTTGGTTTTGTTTTGTTTTGTTGTTGGTTGGCCTCTGTCCCTCATGGTCTTCTACCATCCAGCTGACATAGGCCAAGACAGGTAAGTGGCCAATGTCATCATCCCTTTCTAGCAGTGACTGTGAAGAGAAATGATTCGCTCTTTGTGGAGGCAAGTTCCTTTTCTCTGTTTGAAATGAAGTCAGAAGTCTGACTGACTGGGAGCACAAGGAAAAGTTTTCTTTCCTTTCTTTTCTTCCTTTTGTCCATCATGGGGCTTGAACTCAGAGCCTGGGTGCTGTCCCCGAGTTTTCTTGCCTAAGGCTAGCTAGTGCTCTACCACTTTGAAACTCAGCTTCACCTCCTGTTTTTTATGTGGTTATTTGAGAGGTATGATTGGGCTGGCTTTGGCAATCCTCAGATCTCAGACTCCTGAGTAGCTGAGATTATAGGCGTGGGTTACCATTGTCAGTTTTATCAAGCTGGTTCTTCAGTGAAAATTTTCCTCTTCATCCAGAAGCCACGGAGCCTTGGAGCTCATGCAGATGCCTATGGCTGTGAATCCTCGCCTATTAATTTCAGCTGGGTTTTTGACTTCTATCAGCCTCCAGCAAGGTCATAAACAGCACTTACAAACAAAAGTAGAACATTTCTAACAGATGCCTTGAGTATCTTCAATAATCGTACAACTTTACATTCTCAAGGTTTCTGCTACTCACAGGGTAGTAAACTTTTACTGTGTTGCTGTTAGACACTAATAGCAAAACAAGAGTTTTAGAATAATCAAGAAGGAAGAGTATAAATAATAAAAGCACAATTACCTGGTCCAAGCCTCATAATCTTGGGAAGTAGGCCTTTGTATAAAGCTAAAAACCTATAACCAAAAGGGGAAAAAAAGGAGCATTCTTAGTCTGAAAATAAGATGGAGCTAGACCTCAGCTTTATTGAAAGGCTGGCTCAGCATTTAAAAAGAAACTATGTGAAGTGACACTCACCTCCAACCTGACAATATCTGGCTTAGTATTCACTACAGCAAATTGGATGAGGGGAAAGAGTTAATCAATTTTTATTATCCAGGCTACACTGGTCTTATCCAATCAGAAACATGACTTTCATCAGGGAGATGGTTTTTGCTTTCAAGGCAGATTTTGCTTTCAAGACAGCTGTGTATATGGGCAAAATGACTTTTGTAATTGAATTTAAAAGACCACAAACTCAGGCTTCACATTAGGAAATATGATGCAGCTAGATCAAAATAATAAAGTATCACTTGTTTACTTGAGAATAAGATATTGGTTGTGTGTGTGTGTGGTGGGGGGGAATGTAAGGCAGGATCTAAGCCTTAAAAAAACAGAAGAAAGGGCTGGGAAGGTGGCTCAGTGGTAGAGCGCTTACCTTGCATGCCTGAGGCCCTGGGTTCGACTCCTCAGCACCACATAAGCAAAAAGAAAAAAGCCGGAAGTGGCGCTGTGGCTCAAGTGGTAGAGTGCTAGCCTTGAGCTGAAGAGCTGAGGGACAGCGCCCAGGCCCAGAGTTCAGGCCCCACGACTGGACCAAAAAAAAAAAAAAACCAGAAGAAAAAGGCACATACTTTAAAAATTAAAAAAACTTAATTTTCAGAATGCTCATATTTAATTCTCCCAAGAGAATACAAAATTAGGTGACGTTTTGATTAGGATTACAGTCAGAAGAAAATTATTTTCCCACTCAGGTACTAACAGGATATATAATCCATGTAGCATCTTACTCACACTGGCATGTAAAAAGTCAATGTCAGCACGCCAAGGCAAACATGCTGCATAGTGTATGGTCGTGCCTCATGGCACGTTCCTGATGGTGTAGGAACACTTTGCCAGTGTCTCATTCTTGTGTGGCCGTGCAAAATATGTCATGTATTCCTCAGGCTTCCTTAGACACACACCCATCTCAGGAAGGCTTACTGGTTCTCATCAAAATAGAAGCACAAGGTAGTTCTAACAATGCTTGAGCCTTGCCTGTGTATTAAAGAAAGAATGTGTTACCCTTCTTCCTTATAGACGGTTGCCATTGTTTTAAAACAGGTTCTGTACTTGATCACTCCAGGAACTGGCTGGGGCCCTTGAATCCTACTTTTGGCAACATCAAAAGGGATGTTAATGATGGAGGCGATGGTCCCTGACAAGAAGCCAATCCCAAATCTTCTCAGAAACTCCAAAATCGGATCCTGAAAGAGAAGAAGAAGAAAATAACAGAAGAGGAAGTGGAAGCCCCTAATTGGTTAAACAGTCTAAAGCAATATATATGTAAGCAGAGCGACGCACTCCCCGGCACCCTCCTGTTATTCCAACGGAACACATTAGGAGTTCCTAGGCTGGAACTTGTTTTCTTGACAATCCCATTGGCTATGTTTTTACACATGGTCTAAATTGCTGAAGTACACATTTCCTCACACAGGATTTATAAACACAGTTCATAAAGAAAGACTGGTATGGCATATGGGGATGATTTGTATAATTGGGCTTCACAATGTACTTAGTATTACTGTATCAAAACAGGAGAAATCCAAGCACACTATTAGCTAATTGGCCAGAATATTTTACAAATGACAGCAACTTCCACCATGAAGCCTACTAAAATGCTCATTTGTGTGTGGACCCCCAAATGTTAAATTAAATCAAGGCTACTCTCGGTCTGCTCTATTCCCCTCCAGGTTTTTTGCATTTATTTTCACGTGTAGCTGATCCACTGTACTGAGAAGTGCTAGCTTCCTGTTATTAACAAACCAACTTGGAGCGGCTGCAAAACAGCCTGTGACATTCTGCGCATTACAAACAGTAGTAAGTCACTGCACTAATTGGCTGAAGAATTTACAACCCATTGTTCTTGAATCTTATTCTTCCTTCTTCATGGCAAAAGAAGAAAAGGAGAGAGAGAAGGGAGGAGAGGAGGAGGAGGAGGAGGAGAAGAGAGAGAGGGGGGGTGGGTGTTTCTTCTTTTCTTTTGAACAGAGCCTTCCACATTGGATTTTCCACCCCTCCCCATGCTGCTTTCTGACATCAAAGTATTTAATTAGGTCTTATGTGGGAGTCACTTTCCTTCAGCCTATTTTTGTGCCCAGTGAGCTCACATTATGCTTTGTTATAATGAATTTGCTGGGAAGTTCTCATTATGTCTAGAGCCTAAGTTGTTGCCCTGAAGAGAAGTCATATCATGTATTATGAGCTGCTCACTCTGATCCCCACTTCATGCTTCCTCTGACCTCCCTTTTGGTTAATGCTTTCGTCATCAGCATGCCACATAACAATACGGGTTGTGCCATGACACTATTTTATCGAATAGAACCATAGCGGGTGGGAGGGTGGTATACTCTTTGCTTAAGATAAAAGCAAAAAGAAATTCAGGTTGGAACACTGTAGGCTTCTAGCACCTACAGAAGAAGCAAACTTCTGGAGGCTCTGAAATTCTCAACTAAACCAGGAGCCAGCTACCATCACAGAAACTCCTGTGGGGCTATGTCTAAAAAGCAGGGGATTTGGGAATAATTCTTGGACTTGGGCCATACAGGTGTCGAGGAGGTTTAAAGGGATTTAAAAACCAACAGGGTGTTTCTACAGGAAAAACAATGCAGTGATTGCAGTATGAGAGAGGTGTGTTTAAATAATTCTCCCTCCCCCATTTTCTCCTCTTTTACAAGGAGAGAAAAATGCCTTTATGTTACCCTTCTCCAGTATGGCACAGAAGCAGAACCAGAGCTCCAGAGGAGGGTAAACACTGGGCACCCACTCAAGTTGTCTGACCTTGGATGAGTCATGGAACTCCATAGAGTTCAGTATGTGTGTGTGTGTGTGTGTGTGTGTGTGTGTGTGTGCACGCGTGTGCACAGATGCACGTGTGTTATATCTATCTATCTATTTTCTATCTATCTCTTTCTCTCTCTCTCACCTTACCTGTGCACTGTATTATTTGTTCTGAAAGATAAAAATGCTATGAATCTTCTACAAGACTGGCAGAATATGGATACCCTTATTATATAGGCAAAAAACATTCTGTAAAAAGGTGCTTTTGTTACAAGCCCCAGTAGCTGAGATGGGGAGGATCACAGTTCCAGGCCAGCTTTGTCATACATATGAGAATCCTTATCAGCTAATGGCTGGGCAGAGTGGAATGTGCCTGTCATCTCAGTTACAACATAAAACATAAAATGAGTGGATCTTGGTTGAGGTTGTATGCCTGTCTCAAAAATAACCAATGCAGCCCAGCACCGGTGGCTCACACCTGTAATCCTAGCTACTCAGGAGGCTGAGATCTGAGGATCACAGTTCAAAACCAGCTCAGGCAGGAAAGTCTGTGAGACTCTTATCTCCAGTAAACCACCAAAAAAACTGGAAGTGGCGCTGTGGCTCAAATGGTAGACCACTGACCTTGAGCTGAAAAGCTCAGGGACAGACGGCACAAAGGCCCGGAGTTCAAGCCTCACAACCAAAAAAAAAAAAGAAGGGCTGGTGGTAGAATGCCTGCTTACTACGCACCAGGCTTAAGTTCATGATGCTGTCATGGTGTCCTGTGATCTAGTCGAACTCTCATGAGAAAGAACTGTATGCATATTGTGGGGAAGTTCACAGGACCTTGTTATCTACCAGCCTCTCCCATCTCCTAATATATCTCCTGAGAATCAGAGATGGGAATGAATGGAGGGTGAGCTGAGATAGCCAATGAGGGAGACCCACACCTAAGCTCTCTAAGTGAGCACAGGTAACACTGGCATGAGGAAGTATCAACACTATTTTCTGTACATTTATCCACATAAGAGTAATATCCCATAATAGTTCCAAAATCAAGCTGGGCAACAGAATCACCTGGCAGCTTTACAAGTACAGATACATACTTTCCACTTTGGAACTATCTTAGCTTCCCAGACCAGCTGCCTTTCTCTTGGGAAGATGTCTGAAAGTTATTTTATTATTGATGTGGTTGTTGCTAGCAGTATTGGGATTTGAACTCAGGGCCTTGCTAGAAAAGGGCTTGCACTTGCTAGAAAAGGCCTCTACCACTTGAACCCTGCCTCTAGCCCTTTTTTTGCTTCTGATTATTTTTCAGGCATGCTAGTGCTTCATACTTGTGTCTCCAACATAACTGAAATCACTGGCATATATCACCAGGCACAGCTTATTGATTCAGATGTTGTTTTGGCTGGCCTGACCTTGAATTACGATCCCTTCATCTGTTGATTACAGTTTCTCCAACCTTTCTCTCTGGATGTAGTTTGAGTATACATTATACTTACCAGGTTTTGCCTTCTTGCCCTCCACAGTCTATTTGTGTGTGTATGTGTGTGCGTGCGCACCACCTGCCCCCCACCCCCAATACTGAGGCTTGAGCTCAAGGCGTGGGCAATGCTCCTTGACTTTTTTAAGTCTGGTGCTCTACCACTTGAGCCACAGTTATACCTACATCCTTTTGGTGATGAATTAGAGATAAGAGTCACAGAGTTTCCTCTCTGGGCTGGCCTTGAACCACAATCCTCTGCTCTCAGCCTCCTGAGTAGGTAGGATCACAGGTACAGAGACAGACCCTGTCAACACTATCAACCCTATCAACACTCCCAAGGCCATCCCAACTGCTCCACTATACAAGCTCCCAACTCCATTAAAACACTAGGAAGCCTGCAGGGAAGTGAACGGTGTGGGAGAGGAAGTTTCAATCTTAGTCTTTGGGTGGGGATATAATTTGTTACTTGTTTAGAGTCTTTTCTTCCATGCTCTCAAAGTGGTGAATATTGGTGAGATGGTCAGCCTCTCCACTTTCATTTTGAGGGTTAAACATTAAGGTAGGAGGGTTTGAATTGTATCTTGGAGTTAACTATTGTGGAGAAAATAGCCCTTAGGCAGTTGCTTTGAACTGCTTTAGCCATAAAATAAGGGTTCTTAACTTGGGAGGCTGGGGCAGTGGAGAAAGTAAACACCACACTCGCATCCCCTGGAACCCAGGTGGGCTTTGTTAGCTGAGGCTCTGGAGAGAGCCCCGGAGGCCATACTGAGTCCAAGGTACTGCAAGGAGAAGAAACCAAGGGGAGTGGGGCGGAGTGAGAGTGGGACTGGAGCTCCCCCCAGATCCACACCAATTCTTCAGTGGTCTTTGCAGCCCTCTGGGCAGCATCCGGGCCACTGTCTCTGCTGCATTGGGTTCTTGGGCCCTACCCAGTCCAGGACTACATTCCTGCATCTAAACCTCTTCCCTCCTCACAAGTGTCCCCCCACCCCCCAAGCCAGCTGCATCCCCTTCTCTGACCACAATATAGTAACAACTTTAATAGCAGCAAACATCTTTGTGAAAGATACTGCTAAGTGCAAGTGTCTATACATTTTACCAGTTGTTTTTTTTTAAACCACATTGGAGTCAAGAACTGCTTTCACTATTCTTCCCTTATAAATAAGCTAACTGAAGGGTTAACTGTAAGAAGGGAACGTCTGTCTCATCCCATGAGCGCCTCAAGTAGTCTTCAAGCCCGTGGGTGGGCTGGTGGTGGAGGTGTTCAAGAAACTCCTAACATGGTAAGCCATACTTCTGTGTATGTGTATATTGGTTTTTCTGGGAAGAGTGTCTAGAGATTTTTATCAGGCTTGTAAAAACCTAAAAAATCCTTCATGAGGCCAATTTGTCTATTGATAAGTTTAGAAAGTAAGGAAGTAGCAATTGCATGGTTTAAAACACTGGGGTTAAAAATAGGAAGCCTCAGTTTTTAGCAGAGTTAGCAGGTAATTCACTTCAGTAAAAATATCACTCAAATTTATTTTCCTTCTGGAGTCCTGCTATACACTCCTCAACCACAGCTATGAACTCAGGGGTGGCTCAGGGTGGCCCTGCATTACCACTGTCAGCACAAAGTAGGAAGTTATTAGAAATCAAAATTTGGGAAGGCTGAAGCAGGAGGATTATGAGTTCAAAGCTGGTTTGAACTACAAAAGAAACACCCTAAAACCAGACATAAATTTGGGTCCTATTCCAGATGTATTAAATATGGGGATAGAGCCCAGCAATCTGCTAAGCAGGTCCTTCCTCCACGTTAGTCTGATGGCGGCTAAAGTCCAATAACCACTGCTTGACTGAAGTTTATAATCATGCTCCTTGGATCCTTGGACTGAAAAGAGTAATTGGTGCCCTAAGATTCATTTCAAGCATTGGCACGAAGAGGTTGTACATGTTGAGAGACTTCTTAAAGCTTCC